CTTGCAAAAATTTCTTTAACCATAACTCTTCTTTGCAAGCTTCTGTAATGGCAATAAATTCAGCTTCGGTAGTTGAGAGAGCAACACATTTTTGTAATTTAGATTGCCATGCCACAGCTCCCCCTGCAAAAGTCATCAAATACCCCGAAGTAGATTTCCGAGAATCAACATCACCAGCCATGTCAGAATCTGTGAACCCATCAAGCATCGGCTTACCGTCCCCAAAACACAAACACACCTTCGAAGTCCCTCGAAGATACTTAGAATCCATTTTACCGCTGCCCAATGTTCTTTACCCGGATTAAAGAGAAAACGACTCACCACACCAACAGCGTGAGCAATATCCGGCCATGTACAAACCATGGCGTACATCAAAGAACCAACTGCTGAAGAATAAGAAATTTTCTACATCTCTTCCTTGTCTTTCTCACTTGTAGGACATTGATTCGAACTAAGCTTGAAGTGACCCGCAAGTGGACAACCAATCGACTTTGCTTTATTCATGTTGAACCTCTCAAGAACTTTCTCAATGTAGCTTTCTAGAGACAACCAAATCAGCCCCTCTTTGCGATCACGAACAATTTTCATACCAAGTATTTGCTTTGTCGGTCCCAAATCTTTCATAGCAAAAGAGTTACTCAACTCTATCTTCAACTTGTTAATCATGGTAGAATCTTGACCCACAATTAACATATCATCAACATAAAGCAAAACAATAATAAATTTACCATGTGGAAAATTTTTCATAAACACACAATGGTCTGAAGTGGTTTTAGAAAAATCATTATTCATCATGAAATAGTCAAATTTTTTGTACCATTGCCGCGGGGCGTGTTTGAGGCCATACAAACTTTTCTTCAATTTGCAAACAAATTTCTCTTTCCCCTTTTCCACAAAACCTTCTGGTTGCTCCATGTAAATTTCTTCTTCAAGATCACCATGAAGAAATACGGTCTTCACATCAAGTTGCTCAACTTCAAGGTTCATACTTGCAGCCATGCCAAGTACAACTCGAATAGAAGACATCTTCACCACCAGTGAAAAATTCTCATCAAAGTCAATGCCTTTCTTTTGCCCAAAGCCTTTTACAACAAGACGTGCTTTGTACCTCAAATTCTTCCTATTATTCTTCAATTTGAAGACCCACTTATATTTCAGAATTTTTCTCCCCTTAGGAAACTTCACTAAATCATAGGTGTGATTTTCAAGTAAGGAATTCATCTCCTCTTCCATGGCCTTTTTCCAATCACCTTTCTTTGCATGCTCAATTGTTTCTTGGTAGCTCTTGGGCTCCCCTTGATTAAAAATCAACACAAACTCATTGGGAGGATACTTTCTTGAAGGTTGTCGGTCCCTTGTAGATTTCCTCAACTCAAGTTGTGGTGGTGGTTCTTGAGTTAGATGCTCTTCCTCAATTTCTGGCTCAACGTCATTAAGATTAGCATCATCCTCCACATCTTCAATTGGTGGCTGCACATCTCCTCCATTTTCATCATCAACTGAAGATGAAGGAGATGGATCCATGTCAATGAGATCACTAGTTTTTGGCTCCGATTGATCACCTTTGCCAAAGTCTTCAATTGTTTGGTCTTCAAGAAAGACTAATTGAGCAATCAACCTTCTAAACAGTGCACCGGGTTTTCTTTCACTCCATGTTGCACCCATCGAATTGATGTATGTAATCTATCACTCTCTTTCACCGAGAAAAGTTTTGATGCTCACATTTTCTCAAGGCAAACAAAAACAATATATATATTCTTAAATTTAGGACTTATTTTATCAAAACCCTAGTTGTATCCAAATTGAATTGGGTTTCTACAAATTAGATATAACATATAAAAATCATTGGGAGGATACTTTCTTGAAGGTTGTCGGTCCCTTGTAGATTTCCTCAACTTAAGTTGTGGTGGTGGTTCTTGAGTTAGATGCTCTTCCTCAATTTCTGGCTCAACGTCATTAAGATTAGCATCATCCTGCACATCTTCAATTGGTGGCTGTACATCTCCTCCATTTTCATCATCAACTGAAGATGAAGGAGATGGATCCATGTCAATGAGATCACTAGTTTTTGGCTCCGATTGATCACCTTTGCCAAAGTCTTCAATTGTTTGGTCTTCAAGAAACACAACGTCACGGTTTCGAATGACTTTCTTATCGACCGGATCCCACAATCTATAACCAAATTCATCATGCCCATAGCCAAGAAAAATACATTGTCTTGACTTGCTATCAAGCTTGGACCTCTCATCCTTTGGAATGTGAACAAAAGCTTGCCAACCAAACACTCTTAAGTGCTCATAAGACACATCTTTACCGGTCCAAACTCTTTCAGGAACATCACCATACAAAGGATATGAAGGAGACAAATTGATCACGTCAACTGCTGTCTTCATTGCCTCACCCCAAAAGGATCTTGGCAATTTAGCTTGTGAAAGCAAACACCTTGTTCTTTCCACAATGGTGCGGTTCATCCTCTCGGCAATGCCATTTTGTTGAGAAGTCTTCTTAACTGTCTTTTGGTGCCGAATACCTTGGCTGCGACAATACTCATCAAATGGCCCAATGTATTCACCACCATTGTCTGATAGGATGCACTTCAATTTCTGCCTTGTTTCTCTTTCAACCATGGCCTGAAAATACTTAAATACCTCTAGAACTTGATCTTTAGTTTTTAATAAAAAAAGCCCAAATTTTTCTTGAATAATCATCAATGAAAATAACAAAATAAAATGTACCACTATGTGTTCTAACTTTCAAAGGACCACAAATATCCGAATGAATGAACTCCAAAACATCTTCTTTTCTAGAAGCAACATTTTTCTGAAAAGAAACTCTATGTTGTTTACCTGCCAAACAATGAACACAAGTTTTAAGATGTGTACCTTTGAAATCGGGTAGAAGCTCTTTCTTGAACAAAACTTGTAGCCCTTTTTCACTCATATGGACAAGCCGCTTGTGCCAAAATTCGGTAGAAGTATCATCTTCAAGTGCATTGGTAACACCTTTACAAATTTTTCCTTGCATCGAATAAGTGTATGAGTCTTCTTGCACTTAGCCACCACCAAAGAACCCTTTGTGAGCTTCCATATTTCATCACCAAATTTATTGTTGAAGCCTTCATCATCTAGCTTCCCAGTAGAGATCAAATTGAGGTGAATGTCGGGAACATGCCTCACATCTTTAAGCAACAACTTGCAGCCCAAATTTGTTTCTAAGCAAACATCACCCATGCCAATAATCTTGGACAAACCTTCATTACCCATTCGAACAGAACCATAATCTCTTTCAGTGTAGGTAGTGAAGAAATCAACTCAAGAAGTCACATGAAAAGAAGCACCAGAATCAATCACCCAATTGCTCTCTTGGCCCACAAAATTAATACAATCATCTTCACAAACGACCATGAGATCACCATTGGTAGTAACTGCTGTTGCGTCTTCTTGCTTCTTATCCACACTTTTATCACGCCTTTTCTCCTTGTTCTTGAGTTTTCGGCATTCTCGCTTCATGTGCCCTTTCTCATGGCCATAATAGCACTCAATGTCTTTCTTTGAAAAAGAACCACCTTTTGATTTGTCACGACTTTGATCACGACCATGAGGAGTCTTACTCCTCCCCCTTGTTTTGCTTCGGCCTCTCACAACAAATGCTTCTGAATGAGAGGAACCCACTGATTTTCTTCTAGTTTCTTCATTCAACAAGCTACTAAAAGTCAATACCTTTCTTTTGCCCAAAGCCTTTCACAACAAGACGTGCCCTGTCACAACCAAAGTCTCCCAACTTTCGGGCAAAGAACTAAGTAGCATCAAAGCCTGTAACTCATCATCAAAAATAATTTTCATAGAAGTAAGTTGGTTAACAATACTCTTTATTTCATTTAAATGTTCTAGAATGGGGCTGCCATCTTTATATTTTAAATTAACCAACTTACGAAACAGAAAGGCTTTATATGTGGCTGATTTTCTATCATAAAGACACTCTAATTTTTTCCATAAATCATGTGCCGAAGTTTCAGTAGCAACATGATGAAACACACTGTCATCAATCTATTGACGGATAACACCAACAGCTCTTCGATTAAGCTTATTCCATTCATCATCTTTCATACCCTTGGGTTTGCCACTATCACCCTCAATGGGTCCATACAAATCTTTACAAAATAATAGGTCCTCCATTTTAGTTTTCCAAGTTACCCAATTACTTCCATTGAAGCTAGACATGCGACCTACATTCCCCTCTATAGATTTACACAAATAAATAAACTCAAATAAACCTAAGCTCTAATACCAGTTGTTAGGGAAAATCAATGATTTCCCACAAGTAAATCAATCAATGGGAATAAAAACCAATGCGGAAAAATTAAATCAAAAGCAACATAAGAATTTTACGTGGTTCCCTCAATGTGAGGTACGTCCACGGGATCGAAATCCGATTCCACTATCAACCAAATAAGTTTCTAAACGATTACAAACAAGACACGAATGGTCTCACAAAACCACCCTTAGGTGAATTCCAAATAATCACAGATAAACAAAGAAGAAAAGCCTCACTAAATAGATGAATCAAAATCTTCAGAACAAAGTTGTAGAAGACCCAAAATAATAATCCAAATCAGCTTTACCAAACCATCCGAAGATGCACTAAAATAAAGAACCCTTCGAAGCTAAACAAAGTAGCAGAAAAAAAATCCTTCCAGATTTTGACCAAGCACTATTGAAACTCTTTGTGTAACCAAACAAAACACTACACCAATTGATCCAAAGCTGCTGCCGTTTTCTTCACACCCACGGGACAAACAAATAAACAATATATATATATATATATATATATTGTGAATCTAGGGTTTCTTATAAAAACCTTAGTTGTTACCAAATTGGATTGGATCTCCACAAATTAGATATAATATATATAAAATATATTATATCCAAACCAAACCAAATTAAAATTCTTTAACCAAAACCAATTGGGTCTCAAACTCCAATAAGGAGATATATCCCAACATGCCAGAGGGATTGTTTACAATATTTGTGGATGATTTACCAAACTCTATGGATCCAAAGAGGTTGTTCTCCATGTTTGGTAAGTTTGGAGTAGTAACGGATGTCTTCATACCGGCAAAGAGAAGAAAAGGCACGGGAACACGCTTTGGTTTTGTGAGGTATGATTGTAGGGTAGCAGCTGATATGGCGATTCAGAAAGCTGATGGGTTATGGTGTGAAAGGGTGAAGAAAGCCGATTTTCAAAAAGGGAAGCGAAAGATGGAAAGGGTAGTAAACAGAGCGGAGGCTTGGATGGGGAGGACATCTTAGATGATACCCCCTCAAATAGGACTGAAGAATCAAGGAATGCGCTCATACGCAGAAGTTGTACAGAATGATGCGACCGCAGAGAAGAAGATGATGGTAGTCAAAGTAAGAGAAGCTGGAAATGGATGGCTGTATGATAGTTTGTTGGTGGTTCTTAACTTTTTTACGGCATTCAATGAGTTTAAAGATGAGGTAAAGGCTCGGATAGAACGGGTCAGAGTTAGAAGTAGGGGTGGAAGGTTAACAGTGCTAACCTTTAGCTCAGAACAACAGATGAATGAGGCAAGGGCATGCTTGGATAACTGGATAAGTGAGTGGAGTGATTATATAACTGATTGGGAGAAAAAGAAGTTCATTGGAAGTGAACGCTGTGTGTGGATTACTTGTATGGGAGTTTCACTTAATGTGTGGAGTGTTCAAACATTTACAGACATTGGTAGATTATGGGGAGAAGTGGTGCAGCTGGATAATGCTATTAACAATCCCAATTCCTTTCAATATGGCAAGGTTCGAGTTTTTACATCCAGTAGGGAGGTTATTAATACGGTGGTGCTCTTGGAGTGTAATGGGTCTATGTATCCAGTTCGAGTTTGTGAAGATTGTCCGCTGATTCATGTCTAACCAATGCAAAAGGGAGGTGAGTGATGTGATCCTTGATTCAATTATACAAAGTGTTGGTTCTGTGCAGCAGACACAACTTGGTGATGGAGGAAAGGAAGGTCAAGATGATAGGAATGCCTATAATGATGTCGTGTCAAAGGAAGAGGTGGATGAGGCTAAAAATGATGTGGTGCCAACTAATGATGAGGACAAAGTGGAAAGTGCACTACCGAATCAAGGTGGATGTATTGAGCGAGATCTGGGAAATATAACAGAGCGTGATCTGGAAAACATAAAAGGTAAGGAAGATTGTAATGGGAAAGGTTTGGAACAGTTGGCGTGGCCAACTCATGAGGCGTCAGAAGAAATTCAAAATGTGGAGGGCCAAGTGTGCACACCTGGGTTTGTGAGATACATTAAGGGGTCAGATTGTGTTGGGCCTAATATCAATTTACAAGTAGTGATAAAGGGGATCCAATCTGGGGCATTAGTTAATGGGCTAATAGTGGAAGCTTCAAACTTAAGTGATTGTGTTGGCCAGTCCTAGAGTGGCCCATTTGTTATGCAATCAGGTCAGGCCTAAAGAAAGGATAAAAATAATTCGTTAGGTCCAAAAAGAGGTGTTGCTGCAAATGTCAATCTGGGCAAGAAGAAAGGTTTTGAAGCAAGGGAAAAGGTTAAGCTAAACCATAGATAGGTAAATCAAAAAGGGGTTCTGGCCACAACTTGTTTTAGAAATGGAGCTATTTTCAGAGCTGCTGCGGCGACAATCTCATCATCAATTTTGCATAGTAATAACTCCAAGAGTAGGAGAAAGCTGCGAATTGAAGCTTAAGATACACTTGTAGTTGGGAAGGTACTCGGTATGGAGTATCAAGGTAAGGAGGAGGAGGTTGTTAGAAGAATTATCCAGATAGAACTGCAGGACAAGGAAATTGTGCAAGAAGTTGATGCGGTTGCTTAATTGTATGGGTAGTTTCAGGGGTACAAGGGTCGGCTGAATGTTGTTGATGAAGATTGTAACATGGAATGTAACGGGTTTAAGAAGACCTAAAAAGAGGAGGAGCATCAAGAATTTTGTTGTTAGGGAAAGAAAAATTGAGGTGCTATTGCTTCAGGAAACAAAAAGAAGCAGTATTGACGATTTGTTCATCAAGTCTCTATGGCCAGGTGAGGATGTGGGTTTTCTGGAGGTAGGTGCTGAAGGAAGTGCTGGTGGGCTTCTGTGTTTATGGAATCCTGAGGTTTTTGAGCTTAGGGAGTGTTGCAGCAACAAAAGCTTCATCCTTATGGCAGGTATAATCAATCGAACTTTTGAGTATGTTATTTTAAATGTCTATGCACCAAATGATGTTATAGGTAGGAGGTTATTACGGGAGTCACTATCAAAACTAAAATTAGCTTTTACAAGTCCTTGGTGTATTGATGGTGATTTTAACGAAATCAGATTTATGAGTGAAAGGAAAGGGTATACTAGAAGGGATAGAGGGATGATGGATTTTAATGATTTCATTGATCTTATGGAGTTGCATGATTTACCAATGGTTGGGAGGTCATTTAGGAAGGAGAAAAGTGAAGCAGATTAGATAGATTTCTATTAGATACTGGATGGCTGGAGAAATTTCCTTTTAAACAATGGGGTTTGAAAAGAAGTATCTCTGATCATTGCCCAGTTATCATCATGAATGATGAGAAGGACTGGGGGCCTAAACCATTTAAGTGTATCAATACATGGAGCACTCACCCCAGTTTTATGGATGTCGTTAAGAATGCTTGGGAAAACTTTCAAGTAAGTGGATGGGCTAGTTATAGGATTTGGAAAAAGTTGGGGCATTTGAGAGGTCAATTAAGAATATGGAATAATGAAGTGTTTAGAAATGTTGATGAAAAGTTGAAAAAAACGGGGGATGAACTACATGAATTGGATCTAAAGGCTGAAGTCAGAGATCTGTAGGAGTTCGAAAAAAACCACAGAAGGGAGATGCTGAGTTTAGTGTGGGATTTGAGTAAGAAAAAAGAGAGTATGTGGCATCAAAAATCTAGATTGTTGTGGGCTGCAAATGGAGACAAGAATACACAGTATTTTCATATTATGGCTAGTAAGCGGCAAATGAAGAATATGTTGGACTCTGTGGTTGTTAACGGGATCTTGATTGATCAGCCAGATTCGATTAAACAGGCAGTGGTGAGTTTTTTCACTAGTATGTTTGCAGAATCTTGGCTAGACAGACCGAAGCTTGTTGGTGAGTGTGCTAAAATAAGCCCAAAATCTGCAAATATGTTGGAGACAGAATTTTCAGAGCTTGAGATTTGGAATGCTGTGAAGTAGTGTGTAGGGGGAATAAGGCTCATGGGCCTGATGAATTCAATTTAGCCTTTTACCGAAGGTGTTGGAATGCTATGAAACATAAGGTTGTGCAAATGATGCAGGAATTTTATTTAAATGGAAAGCTAGCATCCAGTGTTAACAGTTCTTTCATAACGCTCATCCCAAAGAAGGAGTGTCCCATTGGGTTGTCTGACTATAGGCCAATTAGTTTGGTAAGTTCAGTGTATGAGATTCTAGCAAAAGTTCTATCTCGAAGACTAAGGCAGTGCTTCATATGCTTATTAGTGAAGTTTAATCAGGTTTTTTGAGTGGTCGATGCATATTTGATGGGATCCTAATTGCTAATGAAGTGGTGGACTGGTGGAAGAAGTCAAAGAGAAAAGGGGTTATTCTTAAATTGGATTTCGAAAAGACTTATGACTCAGTAAACTGGGGTTTCTTGTTTTCAATGTTGTACAATTTTGGGTTTGGTGACAAGTGGGTGGGTTAGATAAAGACATGTATATCCACAGCTAGAATTTCTGTGTTAGTTAATGGATCTCCCACTTCAGAGTTCTCTTCCCAAAAAGGGCTAAGGCAGGGTGATCCTCTGTCACCTCTCCTCTTCAACTTGGTGGCAGAGAGGCTAAATATTCTAATGGAAAGAGCAAAAGGTTTGGGGCTGATCAAAGGAGTTATGGTAGGTCAGAGCAAACTCAAGTTGTCTCATCTTCAGTTTGCTGATGATACAATTATTTTATGTGAGGCTAATTGGAGGAAATCATTGCAATAAAGAGAATTTTGAGATGTTTTGAAATAATGTCTAGGTTAAAGATTAATTTTCATAAAAGCAAAGTTTGTGGGATTGGTGTAGAGGATGATTTGGTTAAAGCATTTGCTAAAAAACTGAATTGTTTGCCCCAGAATTTGCCATTGAATTATCTAGGTATGCCTTTAGGTTCAAATCCAAGGAGGAGGAGAACTTGGCAGCCAATTGTCAATAAGTTCAAAAAGAAATTAGCACTTTGGAAGAGGAAATGTTTATCATTTGCAGGGCGGCTAACGCTGATTAAGTCTGTTTTATCAGGTCTGCCAATGTTCTTTTTATCATTGTTTAAGATGCCAGTGGGTGTTGCTAAGCAACTAGATAGAATACGGTCTAATTTTTTGTGCGGCAGTGATGAGGTTAGGAGAAAAGTACATTTGGTTAAGTGGGAGGAGGTGTGTCAAAACAAAAGTCAAGGTGGGCTTGGTGTGAGGAAGCTCAATGAGGTTAATGAGTGCCTGCTAATCAAATGATGGTGGAAGTAGGAATTCAAAGATAAAGCAATATAGAAACAAGTGGTGTGCAACAAGTATGGTCAAAGTGGTGGCAGATGGAGTCCATGGACAGTGGAGTCAAGGGTGCTCTCCATCATATGGAAGGATATTATATCATTAGCTTTAAGTAACCCTTCCTTAAAGGAGTTCTTTGCGTCTAATTTCAAGATTGTGATTGGGAATGGTCTTAGGACAAAATTTTGGCTGGATGTGTGGCTTAATGATCAGAGTTTAGCTCTTGTTTTCCCTAGACTTTTTGCTCTTTCAATTGAGAAGGATGGCTCAGTGTTTGATTTTTTTCAAAGAAAAGATGGGGGTGATGACTGGAATTTTATTTTCAGAAGATCTCTTTTTGCTTGGGAAGAGGGGGAGCTTCAGAACTTGATTGGGTATCTTCAGGGGGTACCTAGCTTAAGAACTCAAACAGAGGGCTCTTGCACATGGTTGGCTCATACATCCGGAACCTTTTCTGTAGCCTCAGTGAGGAATTGGATAGAGTCAAATAAAGGGTCTAATCTAAGCGTTGCTAAGGCTATTTGGAAGAATATTGCCCCTCCCAGGGTTCAATTTATGACGTGGTTAGCATGGAAAGGTAGGATGAAATCTGTTGTCTTTATGCAAAGGATTGGAGTGTTGAAGCCTGCTGCAAACATTCTCCGTGTCTTTTGCAAATCTGAGGTGGAGTCATAGAGTCATGTATTATTGCATGGTGGTTGTATCTGGAAAGTATGGTCTGGGATTGTAGGTTGGTGGGGGGTGTGTTGGGTTATTCCTGGGTCGGTGCAATCTTTGCTGAGCTGGTGGGATGGTTTTAAAGTAAAAAAGAATGTGAGACAAATTTGAAAAATTGTTCCTCTGGCTGTGCTATGGTCAATTTGGAAAATTCGAGATAAATGTTTGTTTAGTAATGCTCATCCTAATTTTGTGGAAATAGAAGATATGGTGAAATTCAGAGTGGCTATCTGGACAAAATCTAAGTTGAAAATTTTTTCATACTTTGTGTCTGATATTATATCTAATGTATGGCAGATTGGTTATTAAGTCCATTTCTTGGTTCTGTTTCTGGCTAATTGGATAGAGTTCAGGGCAGCATGTTGTTGTTCAGTTCAGAAGTGTAGTTGCTCAGCAGAGGCTCCTATGCTATGGTTTTGTTGACCTGTTGTGCTCTGATGTGAGGATTTGGAACTGGTAGTGAAGCTGCAAGTTATGCCTGTTGCTGTTTAGTACATAAGTGTAGTTGCTCAGCAGAGGCTCCTATGCTATGGTTTGTTGATCTGTTGTGCTTTTGGGCTACTCTTGGGCTGATATGGGTCTGTTGTTGTGTTTTTTGTCATAAGGAATTTGCTTTGGTCTGTTATGCTTAGCAATGGATGCAAGTCCTGGGTGGAAAAATGGCTGCAAGTTTCTGATGATGGCTGCAAGCTCTGGGTTTGTTGATCTGATTTGATAGTGGTGGTATTCAGATGCTGGGCTGATCTACTGCTGATGGTTCAGTATTGCTTTCGGAGTGGAAGCTGAGGCTTGTCTCTGTGATTCTCAGTTTTTGCCACTGGGAGCTGTATATGGAGATGCTGTTGATATTTTTGAAGAATGCAATGCTTGTGCGAGCGTTATCTGGGGCTCTGGTGTCCATCCAACAGCAACTGAGACAAGAGTGTAATGGATGCATTGCAACTGCTGCCGAGTTCCTCAACCATCTCACCTAAACATTGAATTGGGATGTGTTCTGTTTATCTGTTCTATTTACTGATGTCTGAATGGTGTTCATGGCAGTAGAGGCTTGGTTGGGTGTTTGCTGCTAGTGCTGTATGCTTGGTTGGTTGTTTGCTGTTGCTGCTGATGCTGATGCTGCTGCTGTTGCTGATGTCTGCCTTGATAAAGTTTTGATGTTGTGCTCAGGGGTGCAGGACTCAGTTCTAGCTATAGTGCTTAACTTAAATCAGGTTCAATAATGCTTGGAGTGCTGTTCTGGGTTGTAGTTGTGTCTGATCTGGGTGTAGTTGGGCAGCTTATGCAGTAGTGAGTTTAGGTGTTTGTTGTTGGTCATAGGTGTCTACCAGGTGTATGCTTGGGATTGCTTATTTGGTGGTCTTAGGTGTTTGTTTTGTTTTGCTCTGTTTGTTGGTTTCTCACCAACTTCGAGCTTGGAGCTCTGTGCTAGCAGATGATCGGGTGTGCATCTTGGTGCCAACTTAGTTAGGATTTTGGTGTTACACAGTGATGCTCTTTGCACTCTCCTTTTTATTCATGTACTTTTTCATAGTTTGTATGTTTTCCCATCAATAAAGTTTTCTTTTGCTGATCAACAAAAAAAAAAAGAAAAAGAAAAATGTGTTAGACCATTTTAATAATGTCTAGTACCTAAACCTCGATATTTATAGCTTAAGTTAGAATGATTACTTGGCTTATAATTAGCATAGTTCAAATAAAGGATAATATATGCACTAAATGTGAATTTATAATTTTTTTTCTCATTTGTCAATAGATTTATGCATAATCCACATTTCAAATAGGAATTTTATAAATTTTTAAGGGTTAATCAATTTTTTTTTTTAAATGGACATGATATATTATAAATATGTATGATATAACCTTATCAATAAAACTATTTTTATTGAAAAATTCTATACTTATTCAAATAGTTCTTCTAGCATTTGAAAAAATAATATTTATGAATAAATTTAATATTTAGGGTTTAATGTTTATGAATAAATTTAATATTTAGCATTTTTCACATTTAATATTTATGAATAAATTTATGTAATTTCAAAATTTTATACTTTACTAAAACTTTTAGTATTACAAAATCAATAATTAAGTTTTATCAAATGTGCTCTAAATCTAATCATCAATCTATTTTTAAGCAGAATTTTCTCATTTAATATTTTGACAAATATTTATTTAGAAAACCATCCACTTGTTAGTGCACTATGTTCACGGTGATTATTAAGTTTATGT